CTTTTGGAATAATATTCCGCAATCCATTAGAGACAAACCATCTAAAAAAATGTTTAGAAAAACACTTTTACACTGGTACCTTGCTCAATACTAATGAAAACATTATCTCTTTATAACTTTCTGAGCTATTTTGTCATTTTTCCTCTTCTTTTTCTTTTTCTTTTTCTTAATAATCTCAAGTTATACATAACTTTAAGGGACACGAAATTAGTTTATCTAGATGTGCCCCTCTCCTCTCCTTCCAATATACAATGTAATTCAATTTAAGTGATGTAATTTCTGTTTTTTGCGTTTTTTTTCTTTCTTACAAATCACTATCAGTTACTATCTACTTTCTTTACATTATATTTACATATCTATGTATTAGCTAGAAATTGGAGGAATAAAAAAAAAAACAAAAAAAAACATGTACATGCCCAAATTCAATACTTACATTGTACACACAAGGAGCTGTTAATTAAAGCCACTTTTTTGTTACAAGTTTCCAACAAAGATTTTCAATTTTGTTCCATTTGATCGCAGAAAAAAATGTGGTTACTTATTTACAAAATTATGTATTATTTACAGATGTTAACTGTGAGAATTTCTTGATAGATTTTGATCAAGGATTCCCCAGAACTTTTGAAGCTCATGGATGAATTCAAGTTTAAGGTAGAAAGTTGTTTGTGTACTTTCTACCCTGTAGTTGCTTACATGTACATGTAGCTGGCAAAACAATCATTCATCACCTCTTCCTTTGTGCCTCTTTCTTTGTAGGTGTATTGAATATGATCTAATGACAGTCACCTTAATAGAAACTTTTTGTTTTGTTTCGTTTTGTTTTTTCTTTTCTGATTTCTTTTTTAACATTATGGTCAAATTGTTGGCCGTTTACTAAAAATGCATGCACAACATAGAAAAAAACGTCTAGTTCTAATAAGTACAAACTAATGAAAATGGAATTGGTTCTGCACCACAAGAGTGACAAATTGTGACTATGTATTGGTGCATATGTACATACATACATACACTTTATTTTTTCTCGAATTTAAGAGTGGCTATTATACAAGCTAATTTTTTCGAGAGAAAAATAACAAAAGAAGTCAAGATAATATACTGTAACATACACACTACAATTCTGTACAATATTTACAATTAACGGCCAAAATGAAATAAATATGTATACTTAATATTTTAAAATACTATATTAAGCAGAAATTTAACTTACAAAATGTCCCAAATTTACATTAAGTTAAGGCTAGGTAATACTTTTATAAAGTCATTAAGGTTCAACATTTGAACATTGTCCAGCAGTGAGTTCCATTGTTTAACAACATGATAAGAAAAAGAACGAAGGCCACGAGTAGTAGTATTTTTGGGTTCAGGGAGTGTCAGAATGTAGTTACTGCATAAATTATAGGAGGTAGTATGGAAAAGAAACATATTCCTTGTGTAGATAGGATACTTAGTTAGAAATAAACTTTTGTGTAGTAAATTAACATTTTTATTGTGTATACGTCTGTTATATAGAGAAACAAAGTTGAATTTGTCCGATAAGGTATTCTATGTAGAATCAAAATCATCTAGAATGAACCTAAGACTCCTCATCACTCCATGTGTTGCACTGTAGTTTCAATGTTAAACTTTTTAAATTTTTTTTTATTTATGTTTTTATTTTAATTAATTGCTACTTACACTGCTTACAATACAATAATAATGTAGCTACTTACACTACTTACAAAAAACTTATTACTTACGTCACTTACGATACTAACACTTACTCTATACAATACGCATACTCACGCTACTAACAATACTAATGTTAAACTTGACTTTGACTGATTGTTTAAATTGACATCTTTTCCAATGGAACTAACTGGAATCCTTTCTTACCACCACAGCTTAAGGAAGTTATAGAAAAGCTCCACCCCCTTGTAAAAATGGCAAGAGCTGGACAAGTTCCCAAAGAGGTATTGGAGGCCTTCTGTGATATAAGCTTAGACCAAAGCATTTGCCTGGAAATGTCTCTTTTTAGGTTACATGATAAATGAATCTGTTTGCTTATTTTAGGGAGCAGACTACCTTGAACTGAAGCACCAGCTCTACCTCAAGTAAGACTTTGAAATAGTCATCAAGAACTCTTAATATTTGGCTGTGATTTTAGGTTAATTGTTGTGGCTGCTTATCATGTGCAGAGTTATGACCATAGCGCAACAAGAACAAACTGCTGTACATCCCCCTTGGGTGGGAGTCGAACTCTTAGCCCTGCTAGACATCTGGTTCAGGGCTCGGTTGCTTTTTAGTCTCATTAACCACTGAGCTACAGAAGACTCGGGGCCAACTTCTTCCTATCGATTTAAGAGAATTGTTCTTTCATAGGAAGTCAAAAATGTGGTTTTACAGGGCTGTCATTGAGTTTAGAGTCACCTGTTTCCTCAGTCTTCACAACCATAATATTATTATTGATAACAAACGTTTTACTTTTTGGGTGTCGTGAATTGTATCAACAAAAAGCAAGTTCATCTCTAACATCAAGGGCCTGTCAAGCAACTCAGCTGTAACAGGCTTAATGGAGATTACAGCCCTTAGGGAACAAAACTAAATGTCTCCTGTGGGAGTTGTCTGTTAGCGGTAACAGCAGATGCTTAGCTGTGTATTTTGACTTTATAGTTATTGTGTCAACATTGGGTTTTACCTATTGCTGAAAGCAAGACAAACCTCCGTAAGAGATCACCCTGTAATTGAACGACTGGTGCAGTACAAAAAGGTGAGAAAAACAAAGAATCAGATTCAGATTCATCAACGGCTATATTACAATCAAGCAGATTAGATTTTCTCTCTGTTACGCCGCAAAATGTAATAATCGCCACAAAATGTAATATTAACGCAAAATGTAATAAGAATCGCCGCAAAAAGTAATAACATTGGCGCAAAATGTAATAAAAAAGTCAACGCAAATTGTAATAACTTTTCTAACGCATATTGTAATAAGGCAAAATGTAATAATTTTCGAACGACATGTACGATATCTCGAAACCAGTATTATGACCCGGCCAACGTTATCCTGACGTAGGTAATACTGTGACATGTAGGTGAATTGAATATTTGGTTCAATTTGATGTACAGGTTTTGTTTCGAAAAAAAAA